GGCTCTTGCACTGATGCGAATGCTGCTTTGTTTTTGCAGCCAGGTGGATTTCAGGGAAGTGCGCGGCTCAGGCACCTGCGATTCTTCGAGCCGGCTGTGCAAGAATTCGTTCGAGCAGAGTCTTGAAGCCCCAAGCCCTGGACCTGAGAATTAAATTCAAAGGACTGGAAGACATCCAACCAGAACACCCCACCCGTCTTACAGTTGAAATCCTTCAACCCTAAACTCTAGAACTCTAGAGCCTAAACCCTAAACTCTAGACTCTAGACCCTAAACCTTAAACCAAAACCCTAAACTCCAAGCTCTAGACCGGCAGACGAGATCCCGAAAGGGCCCATCTATCTTGCTTTCCCCGGTGCACAGCGGCCAGGAATGCAAAAGACCTGTGCCTGGCTGCGGAAAGAAGGCATCGATTTGGCCGATACCAACAACCAAGGCAAGCTCAGACAGAGTGGACTTGGGTGGTCTGTATTTATCGGATCATGGGACTTAGAAATGAAAGAGTGACAGGGGTTGTAAGCAAAGTAGCTATACTTCGAAATGCAATTTCCACTCTCTGCTTCAAGCAAACAAGGCCCCCCATATTCGGGGTTCAGCATTCATGGACACCAGGATTTCGCAATTGCACTAGCTTAGACAAGGTGGCTGAGGCTTTGGATTTCAGCAAAGCATATTCAAAGTGCGTGTCAATGCGATTCTTTTTGGTAGTACAATCGGTCTTATTATCGTGGTTGTTATTATGATTGTTTGGAGTCAGAGTCACTTTGTAGGAATCTTGTCATGTTGCATTGGGGCTGATCCTGGAGGACTACTTGGTCGCTGCCTCGAGCGAAACCGTCAGCCAAAAGCAACGCAAGTCATCGTCACACCGAAATCTTGAAACTCCGGCTCGCCTGGCACAGAAATAGAAGCTCACTGCTTGCACCGAGGCCCGGAAATGATTTGACAGGAAACATAGGGTCTGTGCAGCTGACGTTCTCCAAATGTCGGTTCTCTTGAATTGAGAGTGCCCATTCCAATGGTTGTGCGTGCATGGCATCAAGCATTCCAGACAGGCACCCAAATTTAAGGTACTTGGAGGAACAGGGGACCTAGTAAGCAAGGTTAAACGTCCCCGAGTTGGAGCTATAGGTGGTTATAAGTTATAAGTATCATTACCTTACATACTGCCCTAGTTACTACGTCCCCTGATCTTTTAAGGTGCGATAGATTCAGTCTTTCCTGAGCTGCCAAGCAGGCTGGAGATTGGACCTCATGGGAGTTTTGTGCACCACACGGTCTGGGGCTCTGAAGAACTGCTAGTAGTATCACCTTCTAGCCATGCTGAGTTTATATCATATAGTGTGCAAACGCTATTCGGATTACAAGGCCCAGGTAAGGCAGCTGGTTCTAAGCGTTACAGCCCAGGCTTTCAGATTTTTCTTCTGCGTCAGGTCATAACGCCTTGCACAAAGCTGTCTATGGTGGCCACACCGATCTTTGCCTTTGGCTCCAGGCGGAGCTAGAGCTGTCCGGTTTCAAACAGTTTGGTTGTGTTTGCTCTTGCGAAGCGTGGAGCCTTGCTTGCGGGCTTAGACTGGGAATCTGAGGTAGTTCTTTCCCGCCAATTTTCGACTGGAGCTTCAGTACTGTAAGGGGTACTAAATGGGGTACTATAAGGCATGCTATCAGGGGTACTAGGTTTAGCGCTGAGCTGCTGTTCCGTGACTTGCATTCGGCTGCGGGTCTTGGGATCGAAGGTTTCCGGTACAAGTCACAAAAGGAATAGCGAAGCTCCAACATCGTCCCGTAGACTTCCGTCGAGCCTAAACTCAGAAGTATTGCGACAGCGGGCTGAACCAGAGTCTAAGCCCCTGGAATTGCCTGAAACCTGGGCTTCCCGAAAGACCCGAAGAGCTCTGAGGACGAGGTACGGCTGGATCCAGAAGCCCTCATCAAGGATGCAAGGTCCCGGGACTCAGATTGTGCTTGCCAGACGCTCCAAACGCAAATTGATCCCTAGAGACTGCAAAAGAACGATTGCGAAGTGCTTGTTCTTGACGACGACTGCAACCTCCTGCCACCGAATGTGCTTTTTGTGCATCTGTGCGAGTATCTTCTCACATTCGTATTGTGATGGTTATCATGCATGTTCTGTTGTCTTCGTCACGACTTGTTAACAGAGTGCTCACGGCATTATCGCTGCCATTCTTGCATAATGGTATGCTTTTGCTTGAAGCTTCTGCTTGTGAGTCCAGTCGCTCTTCCCGAGAAGCCACGCCCAGGGGCCAGGATGCAGTGGCCCTGGCACGCAAAGCGGGATTCGAGGCAAGATACTATAGAAGCCTCAAGAATTACCCATATCATTCCTTCAGGTTCCCGAATATACTTATGCTGTGGAGCCCAAAGCCCCATTCTTATTATTAAGGCCGCGACACTAGTCGTTTTGGTTGCATGGCAGTTCAATGTGTGGAATCTCAAATTTCGTGCAATATGCCGGTAGGCCGTTATCTCAACAAGCGGCATGTGTGGTTGGCGTGTGCCTGGGGTGGCAACACGAGACTTCACAATTGTGAAATCCTTGATGCTCCCAACCCAACCCAAATCCAAACCTTCACATTCCAGCCTCAGACAGAAGACTCAAGACTGCTTTGGGCACCTGTTGCAGCACACTGCGTGCAAGCATCTTATGTTCTGTCAGGGCTATTTCCAGTCAGCTTGTCGGATTTGGAGCCTCATCCGCGGGGTCTGATGTGCTGAATTACCTTCCTTTAAGAAGAACACGCATAAACACGCAAAGCCCTCTTCGAAGTCTTCAAAAACCCCGTATTGGCTTCGAATGTCTCGACCAGGATCTCGCGGTCCTGCTTCTGCGGAGAACCTTTAAATAAAGTGTGTTTCGCCCCTGCTGGTGGGTATTTAGGGTCTAACAGTGGGATGATCTCCCGTAACGGAAAAAGCTGCTTAACGCTCACGTTTCTGTCGTCGGCGGCTGGTCTTGGATGTCGTTCGTCTTCGCGGCAGGGACATCAATGATGTGTTGCACAGCGCCCAAGCACGGCCTGAAAATGGCTATCAAAAAGTCAAGCCATTTGAGATTCGCTGCATTAACAACTCGAGCAGCCGCAAGGAAGCATGAAAAGCGAGGAAGCTACCAGAAGCCGGAAAGGCCCGTCCCAGCCCAGAGCCACAAACGAAGAAGGCGATCAATCGAAAGAAGGTCAGCAACAACTCCATGGAAGAAGCCATGGAAATCCTTTTGTAGAAGCTGCGGTTCCTTCATTGAAAGAGCCCTTGTTATGAGCTCCTCTGGGAATTCCAAAGCATCCCAGGCAATTCTGGACTCCATCCTGCGGGAAGCCGATGATTGGTTTTGAAGCTCTGTTTGGCAGAAAGGAGGTGCCTAAAGAAATACTGTTTTGGGGGGTTCCTTACAAGCCCTATTCTAGTTATTAAGGCCCCTATATTATATGGCCTTTGGGGCTGGAGTTTTGAAGTTGTTTCTTCGCAGCTTCGGATTGGGTTGTCTTCTTGCTGACGCTTCCACCGAGGCAAGAGCGACGCGTATCCGGCAGGCCATGCTGCTCCCAAATACACGGCGTGGAAACAGCAACATGGGCCATGATACTTCCTGGAATACTGCATGCTCTCTGCAAAAGTGGACATGCTTCTCTTCGAGCTAGCAGCTTCATTCGGAAGTGGTCGCTGGTGGAACATGGTGGATCCATGTTTCGTTGCTTCAGAATGCAGCTGCAAGCTTCCTGCACTGTGTAGGGATTTTGAACCTCTGACGTACTTTCGATCCACATTAGATCGCCATGCTGAAGCTGCGAATCTTTGGCACCCGTTTTGGGGTTGTTGGAATGGCAGGGCAGCTGAGACGATTGGCAGACGACGACGTGGCGACGGGGCCGGCCAAGCCGGCACTTCCTGCAGCTCTTGGGACTGCTTTGCAGCTACGCCGGTGGATGAGTCGGTGTTCAAGAGTATGTCGCACCGCAAAAGCCTCGAGGCTGCCGAAGCCCCAAACCCGAAACCCCAGTCAAAGCCTTGCGAACAACCCGAAAACCCATTAAAACATTTATGAAGAGCTTTAAGCCCTGATCCTCAGACATGTTTCCAAGGCGAGGACACCTTGCAGCGTCCTTCAGCATGTTTACTTTGCTCGCTTGTTTGCTCAGCCATGCATTCTTGTCATGGGCTGCTCGGTGGTGTCATGCCGCACCTGCTGTTTGCAGTCTGTCAAGGAAGACTCATGTCTTTCGTAGTATTTCGTGGCGTTGTTCGAGAATGCGTTGTCTCTCCATGTCGCAGAGGTTTGTGCCAAAGTTGCAGACATGCAGGATTCCAGCAAGTGTGACTGCGACATTGCGCCATGATGTTTTTCCTTTCGTCCCTGCGCGCATCCAAGCTCGCAGTCCAAAGGCAGGGCGGGTGCTTTGGCAGCTCCATGACTCCGACTCGGACTCCCCCGCTCTCTCAGTCTGCTTCGCAGCTGCCGTCACGTTGCATGGCCACATGGAGCTCCACTCTGGCGCTTGCGTTGATGTCGAGGCGATGCCGGCCAAAGCCACGGTTGGGGCTGCGCTGTGTTGCGCAGAAGATCCTGGAAGTGCTGGAATCCCTGGAGGACATCCCCAGCCCCCACTTCGTGTCGGGGGAAGACGCCAAGTCTGGTGTAATTGTGAAGGGC